CCCCCGCCGTGGGGCGCTCGGCCAGCCTCTGGCTCCCAGGGCCGCCTTGCCGGCCTGACGCCTGGGTCTCGTGCAGGGGCCAGGTGTGCGGTGAGGCCGCCGGTGGGCTTTGAAGCCCGGCTGTGCTGCAGGAGAGCTTCCCGGAGCCGCCGCCAGGGGCAGGTTTAGCGTCAGAAGTGAAAGTGAGGGCGGGTCGGTCCCTGTCGTTAGAAGCGTAGATGTGTCCGTAGCTAAAGGGCTTAGTCGCTCAGGGGGGAAAAATACTCAGACGGGGGCCTTTAAAAATGTTATTCTTGAATGTTACATTTAAGTTGTGCTTTTTAAAAATAATAATAACCAGCTTTATGTTAAGTGGTCCTTTTTCTTGATATCCAAGAAAAGAATTAGGGTTGTAGGAAAATGCTCTATTAAGTACTTTTGGCAGCTGTATATTGAGGCAGTGATCAGAATTTACCGACCAAACTTTACTTAAAGCCTGCATGCCCAGCTCGAACTCACCGATGGTGAAGTCGACCAGGTTATTTAATCAGGCCATGTGGGTTTGAAATATTAATGCATGTTTTTGGAATGTGTTGGAGGAGAACGGAAGGTATGATTTTAGCCTTGTCTCTGCCTCTAAAGGGCAGTGCGGCCTCTCCACTTTTTGAACACATATACCCTTCCCTTCCTCAGCTCCTCAGAGTTTGGGGGAGAATCAAGCATTTTGCAAATTGCAAACAGTTATCTTTTTTAATCTTCATGCCACCTGAGTGTTAGATGGTATTAGCCCCGTTTTTACAATGAACCTGGGGCTCCAGCCACAGCGTTGATATGAAGTTGAGCGGGGACTTGAATCCATAGCTCTGTTGCACTGAGTTTATGCTTCTACTCTTTCATTTCTAACACTTTCTGTGACAACTGTTGGAGTAGTTATGTCCTAAGACTGTTATTAGGTCCATTTCATAAGGCAGTTGTGAGTTCTTTGTAATAAGACCTTTCAAGATGTTGAGTATTCGGTGATCATTACTCACTTTTTAACCCCGTGATCCAGTTTAAGCTATTACTCCCCTAAAGGTTAGTTACTTATGACTTTTTGATTATTAAATTGAGTTTCCTTTTCTCAGTCTTTGTTTTTTTCTGTCACACTTATTGCTGCTGGCTCTTGGGCAACCTTTGCTTCTACAAAATAAGACTTCTCTGTCTTTTTCTACTTTAACTCTTAAAATGTGATTAAACTCCAAGTCACTAGCCTCTGTGTTTGTCACTCAGCACTGTCACATGTCTCCTTACTGGGCAGATAATTCCCAAATCTGTTTCTCCAATTTCACCTCTCATGAGTCTCTCAATTCTGACTGCTTAAGTAAAACATTTCTACCTGGATGTTCTGCTCTCACCATAACTCAAGATATTAAAACAAAAGGCAAGCTTATGATCCCTCAGTCACCTTTCCTTTACATCCCTTATAATCAGTGTCATGCTGCTTGTCAAGGTTAAAGTCTACCAAAATTATGAAAACGTGTACAGTTTGTGTGATTGTTTTCTGAATTTACCAATTTCTTCATGTTCACACTTCTACCCTCCTTACTGCATTAGTCTTACTGGAAGTGTTTCCCTCCCGTTTCAAAGGTTGTGTGATTGTCACAGCAGCCTTCTTAAAACTCCACTTTGCACTTGGAACTTTTCTCACTCTTGCTCACATAACGTCACAGTGTCTCACCGACATGCTGCAATCTTTAGTTTGGCATTTGGGATTTTTTATAGTCGGATCCCGTCCATCACATAAGCTTGATGTGCTGCCCTTGCTTACACATAAAGAGACACCTGGCTAAGTTGACTGTTCATTTTAACGGGGTCCATTTCCTTTTATTTGCCCTCCGTGTTATCTGGGATGCTGTCTGTTAGCGCTTCAGAGCGTTAGTGCACATCCCAGCTGAGTGAAAACAGTGGCTGACGCTTTCTGAGTGCTCACGTTCTGACGCACTATGCTGGGTGCTCTATGTGAGTTATGTCATTTAACTCTCATGGTCACCCTATAACACAGAATCTTATCATCATCAACTTGAACTTGGATAATTTGTCCAAACTCACAGAAATTTGTAAGGGGAACATCAGGTCTTAGGAAACTGCAGAGCCCAGGTGCTCAGGGATCACACTGAACTGCCTCCCACATATGTGATCACAGCTAACTCTGGAGAACCAGTTATGTTCTGGGCACTAGTCTGAGGGCTTTACAATTATTAACTCATTTAATCCTTGTAACACCCTAAAAGGCAGCTACTGTTAGGATCTCTGCTCTATGTCTGAGGACATTGAGGTCTTGAGAGGTTAAGCAACTTACCCACAGTCTCAAATCTGCTAAGTGGGAGAGTCAGACTTAGAACCTGGACAGTCTGCTTTTGGTGTTCATGCTCTAGGCCCCTTCAATAAGCCGCCATCATGAACCAAACAACCACAAAGCAAAAACTTTGCCCTTTGTTCATTCATTTTTCAACAGATACTGGGTGACTGAGTGCTAGGAATGCAAAACCCAACCCGCTCTTCTCTGAGCTCTGGTAACTGGTGTGGTGCCACTATCTTCACCTGACCCCTGGGGCTAGGGCCATGGCTTTGTCTGTTATGTAATATTGGTACTTGGCACAAAGTAGGTATTTATTTTTAATGATGATAATTCAGTGACTCTTCTGTTACCTCCTGCTAGGGACCCTTTGCTGTGATGTAGGCTTGTGTTTTTAGAGAGCTCTTGATGTTTCTCCAGATTACTTGTAGCCACGGGTACTTTCCCAATCTTTCCTCTTCTATCTGAATCCTGCTCGTGAAGGTTTGTGGCAACACTGCAGAGAGCAAGTCTGTGGGCACCATTTTCCCAACGGACTCAGGTGATGGTTAGCATTTTTTAGCAATAACATCTTTTTAAGTTAAGGTATGTACATTTTTAAAATACATAATGGTATTGCATACTTACAATATTGTGTAAACATAACTTTTCTATGCACAGAGAAACCAGAAACTTTGTGTGACACTCACTCTGTTGTGATAATTGCTTTACTGCATTGGTCAGGAACTGGACCCGCATCCTTCTATTGGGTCAGGCGTGTTTTCCGTCCTGAAGGATTCATTAATTTTTCTTTCTTTCTTTTTTCCTCAGCACTGTTTTGGCAATTGCCGGAGAAGATTTTTCAATTGTTGCTTCTGATACTCGATTGAGTGAAGGGTTTTCAATCCACACCCGGGACAGCCCCAAATGTTACAAATTGTAAGTAAATGTCAAAGGACACATTTCCCAGGGCCTTGTGATAATGTAATGCTGCAAGAGATTTCACTTCTAAACAATGTGTTTCATGGGTTTTTAGATTGCCTGTTTGGAGCTTAGCTTGCATTTTTGTTGGGAAACAATTTTCTAAATTAGTATTTCCTAATAATTTAATATGCAGTCTTCCTGGTATTTGCCATATCTGGGTACCAACAGTGCTTTTCATAATCTAAATATTTTTATCTCAACATCTTGTCATGAAAAATTTCAAATATACAACAGAAGTAAAATTTTATGGTAAATACCTGTACACTACCACCTAGCTCTTATTAACGTTTTACATAATTATCATGTTTTTCCGTCCTATCCATTCATGAATCCATTGAATGTTTTTTTATCTGCCCCTTTTTTTAAAAAAACTTGAAGCATTCTGTTTAGCCACATCCTAAGCAATTACACCCGTGGCTCACAGTTTTAATAGCTCCAATTTTTCTAAAACAATAGTAAAATCATATGTATGGAAAGAAGAAAAAATGTCTGCGTTGGTCACCTAAATGCATCTTGCAAGGTTGGCAGTGATTTGTATTTAACATTTTTGGAAACGGTTATACACGGTGGTTAGTTCCCAGGTTGGTCCACAAAAGTCTGTTCCTCCTGAATTTTAACAGGAAAGGACTGATGAGGTTCTATCCTGTGGTGCTCCAGGGAGTCTATAAAGAAGGGAGCTCTGTCCTTCCTGGTTCAGGGCTGACCCCATCTTAACCCAGAGAAGTGAAGTTTGTCTTACCATCCCAGTTCCCTTTTGACCACTTTCCCATCTTTTAATACCCCTTTCTCCTCTCCAAATCATGGCTTCTCTAAGATATAACTTTCATGATTTGAAAGTAGTGAATGATATAAATATAACTTTATTGATATCTTTGTGTAGTGTTTTCATCTTTGTAATGTTCTATTTTATTTTATTCTTTTTAATTGATTTGGGGGGTCAGTATGAGAGAAACATCTGTTGGCTGCCTCCCGCATGCTCCCCAACCTGGTATTGAACCCAAAACCTGGGTATGTGCCCTGACTGGGAATTGAACCTGCCACCTTCTGATGTATGGGATGCTGCTGCAACCAACCAAATCACACTGGCCAGGGCATCACGTTCTATTTTAGTGTGTATGCTGCTAAAGTGAATACCCATTCTTTTTTAATGCTATACTTTAGGTCTAGAGGTAAATAGAACACTAACAACTTCCTGTATCTGTTGTCAGCACTAGCCCGTGCATACAGTTGACGTTGCCTGCGTACCCTGACCCCATGCCCTCTGGGGTTGACCTAGGGATGAGCCTGCCTCTTCCCCACCTGATTGAGACTGACATTTACTCTTTTTTCTTTGCGTTCCATTGATGTACCCGGATATTTGGGGAAAGCATATTGAAGCTCCCAGGATGTTGTCCTACCCTGTCTGTACTTATTGTCAGCCCATCTTGATGTTAGAGGAAGATTGGAGGCCTTTATCTTGGTGCAGAGGGGCTGGATGTAGGGACAGATCAGGAAATGATGGTGATTCCCCAGAGTGTCGAGAGTCCCCCAGTTGGACAAGAATGATTTGTATGCGTCGTCTGTAAAGTCTGAAAGAAAGAAATCATAGCCTCTGCTAAATAGTTCTTGATAAGATTGGTTTAGCTTTCTTTATAGAGTGATACCCAGATTTATGAGTTTACTTCTGAGATATATGGTTGAACTTGCATGTATATACCAAAAGTAGTCAGTTCCCTTCCAGGGGCATTTAGGATGTTTTTCATCTGTCTGTTTGTTTTGGAGAGTTATTAAAATAACATGTGTAACCTACACAAGTGGGCCAGAGCGTATCTTTGCAAACTTGCTGGCAGGATGAATTTCCAGCAGTGGGATTATTGAATGAAAATGTACACTTAAACTTTTACTAGATCCTGCCAGTGGCCCTTCTAAAAGGTGGGATCAGTGTATACCCCTGCCCAGCATCTGAGAGGACCATTTTCCACAAACTGGCCAGCACAAGGCATTGTTAGCCAGTGTAATAGGTTGAATCATCTCTTGTTTAGATTTGGATTTCTCAGTGACACAAAGTCTCTTTTCATATGTTTATGGTGACTTGTGTCTCTTTTTATGTGACTTTCATATAATTTTGCCCATCTTGGTTTCAGATGTACAACATAATGATTCTAATTGTATATATTGCAGAATGATCACTGTAAATCTAGTTAAAACTTGTCAATGCACATAGTTGCACAGATTTTTTTCTTGTGATTAGAACTTTTAAGATCTCTCTTAGCAACCTTCAAATATGCAAGACATTATTAACTACAGTCACCGTGCTGCATGTTAGACATGGTTCTTTGTGGTGTTAATGTTTTTCCTAATTGTAGGAGCCCTTTGTAGACTAAGGAAGTTAAAATTAGACTTTGTTCACATGTACTACAAATATATTTTCTTAGTTTTTTCTTTTAAACATCGTATTTTTTTCTGTGGAAGTTTTTTTGGGTTCTGTTTTGTTTTTTATGTATTCAAATATATGAAACTTTTCTGTGTGGACTGGGTTGTAGCATAACTCAGCTGCCCTCAACCCTAGATTATAAAAAAATTTGCCCATGTTGTCTTTAGCCCATTCATAGTTTCATTCTTTCTTTAAGTCTTTGATTCATCTAGAATTTATTTGGTGTAAGGAATTAGATATTAGATTACAGGCATTCCCTCCCCCCGAAAAAGGGGTTAAGTAGTTGTCCCATTACCATTCAGTGAGTAATGGGAGTAGGAGTTTGAAATTTAAAATTTCCCAACATGTTTTGCTTTACTGTCTAACCAACTCAATTTCCTGAAATGTGCTTTTTGCAGAACAGACAAAACAGTCATTGGATGCAGTGGTTTCCATGGAGACTGTCTTACCCTGACAAAGATTATTGAAGCAAGACTAAAGGTAGATGCATTTTACACATCTGACTGTTGAAAGTTCATAACTCCTTAGACTCTTGTAAGCTCACAACATGGCTGCTGCTCAGAATAGCCGGGGAAGCACTAGGCTGATGCAAGAAACTGACCTGTTCATGCAGCGTCATTAAAGTACAGAATGTGAAACCATAGCAGATCCACCTGTCAGATCTCTACAGTAGAAAGGATTTCTGCCCTTTTTGAGGTGGCAGGGTTCTTCTGAAGATTCTTTTCCCTGAAAAACAAAACAGACCAATGTCTGTGGAGAAGATAAGCTTTTGGACAGGAGCTTGGTCTGGAATCCTGTTTGCTGACATGTTCCACCCCACCCTCCACAGATAGGATGTGTGGACAGGAATAGGGAGGGGCACCGCCTGAGCCATCACTACCCCCACACACACACAGGCTTTGGTTGGCTGGAGGCGGGTGGGGGAGGAGAGAGGAGGGCCGGCATTAGGAAGAAGTGAGAGAAGGACTTGGACCGACTCTAAAGGGTCTGACACCATCACTGCCTGAGGCGTGAGGAGCTGGGATCTACTCTGAGGAGGCAAGGGCGTGTCTGGACTTGGTTAGGGTCTGTGCATGGTATCAAGTTTGCTTCTAGTAATTTCCAGAATAAGGTAGGAGCGTTTGGACTGTGCTAGATGGAGTTTACTTGGCTCAGATTGGGTAGAACTCTCAGCCACTGTTGTCAGCATTCAGAAATGTAGGTGTTTCTCAGCCTGTAGCCTGGGAGGTTTTATCACAGCTGTTGGTGGCATTTACAGTATCAGCCTACTGCCCCTAGTTTCTTATTTAACTTTGTGGGCTATATGTCAGAGTTTGTAGGTACATAAAAAACTGAGCAGCATGTTCTGTTTGCTATTTGTAACACCTGAGGTGATTCACACCTGCAAGAGGTGTTGTGGTCACTGGCGCACACAGTGATTTACTTACCTGACACTTGCTTTTTGAATGTGTAAGAACAATTTCACTCAGTATTCATCAGTTAATACTTACTTAAAAATTTTACTTAACATTGAAAAGTTCAGCAACTTACATTTATTGACATGTGTATGGCTTTTAATGCATATTTTGTAAATGGAAGTAGGACAAAAATAAACATGATGGAGAATTGCTTGTTAAATAAAACAAGAATCGATGAGTTCAGCTTAGATCACAGTCCTTCCTGAAGTGTTTCTTCAATATATTACTACATGAGTGGTGAGGTGAGTAAATGGTGCTTGGTTTTGAAATGAAATGAAGTGAAAATTTTTTTATGACTTTCACATAGGAAAAATTCTTTTAGACACCGATTTAGCTATTACTTGTAGCTCGTTCCTAATGTTTCTTCAGTACTTTGTCACTGTACGATTTCACAGTACTTCCCGGGTTTCTCTTTAGAGGTGTTTGCCATGTAGCTGGCAATTTGGGGAAGTGAAATTTGTTATCTGTTTGCTATTTTTGTAGGATTCCTCAGACTCTTAGATAAGTTAGGGTTCCCTAGGGTGAAGTAAACGTAGGTGGAAGTCACTGATTTGGAGACTTCTCTCCTCCACTGTAGAGGAGCAAGACCACTGCCCTGTCCTCGAGTCCTGCAGCATGAGGGTGAGGCCCTCGTCTCTGTTCTCACAGACAACTGCTGTGCAAAGAGGGACCTCGACCTGGGTCTAATCAGGGGTCAGCAGACTCTGCAGAGGCCTAGATAGGAAATATTTTCAGCTTTGTGGCTCACTGGGTGTTTGTGGCAACTGCTCAGCTCTGCTGTTGAAATGCAGAAGCAGACATGAGTAGTATGTAATGATGAAAGAGACTGTTCCAGTAAGACTCTACACAAACACAGGTGGGGGGCTGATTTGGCCCACGGCTGCAGCTTGCTGGCTACACTCTTGATGCAGGGTGAAGAGCTGGCTCACCTTGCCCATTTGAATGCGTGCATTTTCTCTGGAGTTTGCATCCTTGTGATAAGGATCACCTAGGAAGTAGAGTCTGTAAACCAAATACAGAGGGCAGACACCATTCTTCCCCCTAAAAATTCTTACTGCCCCCCAAATGATAGGGTATAAAGAATTATTATTTTACCTTAGTGATATTGTGCATTTTGATCATGAAAGAAACAGGTGTCTTTTCTTTCACCAAGATACACATGTTGTTTTGACTTTACTGTTCATAGTTAGGGCCTGAAACATATTCTGCCTCTACATGCCTGTTGTTTTTGTCAAAAACCACAGATGTACAAGCATTCCAATAATAAGGCTATGACCACGGGGGCGATTGCTGCCATGCTGTCCACAATCCTCTATTCCAGGCGCTTCTTTCCCTACTATGTTTACAACATCATCGGGGGACTGGACGAAGAAGGTACAGTTTCTCTGTGGAAAACCACAGGCCAGCGTGTCATAGGTGCCCGTGTTTTCATCCAGACTTGAACCATAAAGACCATCTTGCCCAAAAACTTCATTTTCTGAAAATTAAGCAATGAAGAGACTGAAGCTAAATGGGAAATAAATGGTTGTCCAAAGACACAGAGCGAGTAGTGTTTAGAGTTCTAATGTTGGGCAGTCCATTATTTTACTGTTCTCTCACAATCTTTAATGAGTTCAGAAGTAGATAATTAGCATTTTGATCTTAAAAAATCTGACCTGGGGAAGCTTAACCTAGTGATGACATTTATTAACAAACTTATTTGACATTAAAGTTTTTAAAAAGTAATGTCTTAGGAGTGCATGCATGTCCACCCTTGTTTGCTGAACATTTTTGAAACACCTCTTTGATTTTCTGGCAGAGCCCTACCAGGACATTTCTGTCCTGCTTCTGTGTCACTCAGCTCTGGCACTGGCTTCTCACCAGCTCTGATTTGTGTTCACTTCTGGTTGCTTCCAAAAACAAAAAATACTCTCTCAGAACAGATCTGTGCCACCATTTAGAGTGGTCTGTTGTAAAAAAGTGACGGAAGTGTCTGAGTGAAGCCAGTGAAATAAGTCTGTCTTCGGAGAGGGAAAATTTAGGGTAGGGAGGAGTCAAGGCTCTTCTCAATTCCTTCTCTCCAATGTTTCCTTCTTAAGGGAAGGGAGCCGTGTACAGCTTTGACCCAGTGGGGTCCTACCAGAGAGACTCCTTCAAGGCTGGAGGTTCAGCAAGTGCCATGCTGCAGCCCCTGCTTGACAACCAGGTAACAACACCGCTCCAGGTGTGGTGACGTCAGCAAGCACTCTCCTCCAAGTCCTCCTCTGCTAGCTGGGGAGGGTGGGGAAATGTCAGCCCCTGCTGACTTCGGGTGACTTGACTGCTCAAGACCTCCCGGTCTCTGCTGGCTCTTTGGCCACCGCTCACCTACTGCACACCTTGCCTGCTTGCTGCATTCTCGTGACCTTCTGGTCTTTGGGTTTACTGTGGTCTGTCCATCTTTTCAGTTCTCCTCTTGCCGTCTGCATCATTTTATGAAAACACCCTCCACCCCGATACCATTTCTGTGTCACCTGACTTTGTATTCTAACTTTTAAGTCTGTTTTTAACACGCCCCCTTTTCCATTTCTGCTGACTGAGCTCAGACCTGCATGGCATCCTGCCTGGATTGTGTATTTCCTCACACCTGTTCTGCCTCCAGACACTCTTCCCTAGTTCACCCTCCTTGCTTTTCTGAACTATGTTGCATGCAGTAACTTCCCTGCTCATGGCTTACCTGCCTCATCTCCCGTCACTCCACAGACCCTGGGAGCACTGTGCATGTCCCGTATCCTCAGCCTTGGGCGTGCCACAGCCTCGCTCCTTCACCCGTTTGCCCTTCACACCCAACTCAAATGTACTTTGTTCTAATGAATTTGGTCCTGGCTGTCTGGGCTCTCCTGGCCCCTCTTCCTCCTCAGCTATAGCACATTCTTATCTGCTCTGCCCACGTGTCCACCTCTCCAGGGCGTGTGCTGCTCAGGAGCCAGAGCTTTGTCTCTGCATCCTTGTTGGACACTAAATTTGTGGGATGAGTTCATTATGAATTCTCAGGCATGAAGGCATTGGTGGGGGCAGAGCTGCCCCC